GAAAGAGCACTTATTTTTGGATAATGTTTGTGGAGTTAGTGTAATGGGGAATCATTAACAGCTCTGTCAACATTTACTTAGCAGTTCTTGAACAACTGGAAGGACAGATCATTCTGGGCTGCCAGCTGGGAAATCTATTGGATATAACTGGTTGCTAAAATTCCCACTGTATTAATCTTCCCTCTTTTCAATACTTCAATTCACAGCAAGATTTAGCTCCCTTAAGGCAAATTCAACATGCCTAACTTTAGCAGCCTAGAAAGTCAGGCATCTTCCGTAAGCTAGTTGATTGGACTCTCTGAATAATCTACACAGAGAGGACATTCAGACAATGCAGCGCAGCTATTTAGGAAAGATATAAAAACTCAACTACAAAGGGAGCCTAGACTCCCCTCATTAAAAAGCTACAGTGAGGCAAGAATAATCCAATTCTCAGGGGCACTGTACAAGTCCAACAGTTAGCTCAGACGTCAATAGTTAATTCATCTGGGCCTTCCAGCTTGCAAAAAATAAATATACCAGAACAGAAAAGCTCTGTGAAGGGCAGATAAATTTTAACTTATGTAGCAAATTTTCTACTGATTAAATGGAACCTAACAATTAACTAATGAAGGCTTCACAGAAGGCACTATAATGATTAAAATGATGAAGAGGTGCAACTTAAAGATACATACATAAATGAAAAGATCATGCAAAATCATAATTTTGTAAGTACTATGGGTGGGTTTTCCCATCTTAATGGTAATAAAGACTATCTTTAAAAAGACAAAGAAATCCTACCATATACAGCAAATACATCTTTTATTTCCTTTATAATCACCCTCAGGGCAGACTCAATTCCATAATTCTTAGCTATGGCATGAATATCATTGGAATAAAGTCTGTTCAGGTCCAAAATCTGAAAGCAAAAAAGCCACGGACACAAGTTAGGACAGTAGCTACTCTGTATTTCCCAATAACTTAGGCTAAGCTAAGATAGCTTTTTTTTCTCCATTTTTCATTAGCTTAAGCAGCACCATCAGTTTCAGAACAACTAGGCAGCAGCTCAGTCACATACAAACAAAAATGATTCTGGGGATTTATGTTAGAGCTAGTGATCACAGCTTTATATACATGAATAAGAGTACTGGAATCAAAACTCGCCGGAGGAGAAAGTGATCTGAAATTAGGAAAAGCAAACAAACCGACCATCCCAAGCAGCAGAGGAACACGTTAAAGTCTTCCAAGCAACACAATGGAATGCCCAGTCTATCTCAGCCAGCCAAAACGTTTAGCAAAAGCAGCAGAGAAGATGTAGCTTAAAACAATCCTGTATTTGCAGAGTTATGGGCTAGATGGCGTAACAGAATTATTCATCTCCAAGTACTGCAATTCATTTAGGTGAAAGAACTCCCTCAAGTAACATTTAGAGAGACCGTTACAACCATGGTGTGGAATTATCTGTCATTAGACACTGGGCTGCTGCACAAAAACTGATTTACAAGCTGCCCTTGAGAAAAGGCTCTGCTGAGCTCTGAACACACCTGGGTATAAAAAGAAGGAGGGAAGAGAGTTTAAGAGCTGAAAAGGCTACACATCACCCCTGCTAAATTTCAATGGCATCCACCGTCTCTCCCTAGAACACAAAAGATCACTCAAATTTGGGATTATAAATAGATTACGTACATCAGAGTATCTGAACAGCTCTGCAAGGTTTATCCCCTCGGTATGCAGAATGAGTTCCTTCTCTCCTTGCTTATTGGTACTTTCATTCAACAAGCATCGTGTGATCCCCTTCACTTCGTGAATGACTGTGCTTCGTGCAAGAGAGACAAGCAAGGAGGAGAGATCGAAGTACACTTTCATCAATGGAAGTGTTAAGGAAACCTTAGAAGGAAAAAAACAATGCAGTGTTCTGTAAGGAAACTTGACCATTAGGCTCAATAGCCACGCTCTTCTTTTTAGGCAAAAAGTAGACAACTGAACAACTGGTATTATCCTAGCTGTGCACTTAAGAACATAAATATCTGACTAGAATTACAGCTGAATGATGCTAGCAAGGACACTACATCCCAGGACCATGCATTCACATTGCTTTCAAGGTCTCTGAACTTACATCACTTGGGGTTTGGTTTTTAATTTGTTTGGTTTGGATGTTTAGCCATTTTCCCTTCTGTCTTGCAGGAGGACCACGCAGGTTTCTCAACACCTGCAGCATGTTTGATTTTGTTGCATCTTCTGACAGTTTCAAAGCAGTATTAGCTCATGTTAAGGTAAAAGCATAAGGTTTTTCAGCATGAGCTAAACTGGTGTCGTGGTTTAACCCAGCAGGCAGCTGAAACAACCACGCAGCCATTCGCTCACTCCCTCCCCAGTGGGATGGCAGAGAGAATTGAAAAAAAAAAAAAAAAAGAATATAATAACAACAACAATAATAATATGCAAGTGATGCACAGCACAATTTCTCACCACTCAAAACCAATACTCAGCTAGTTCTCAAGCTGCCCCACTTCCCAGCCCACTCCCCAGTTATATCTGGAGCATGACATCATATGGTATGGAATATCCCTTTGGCCTGTGAGCTGTCTCCGCTTCTGGGGCATCTCCCATCTTCTCATTGGCAGGGGAGGATGAGAAGCTGAAAAATCCTTTACTTAGTGTAAAAACTACAATTACCTAGCAACAACTAAAAACATCAGTGTGTGATCAACATTATTCTCATCCTAAATCCAAAACACAGCATTATACCAGCTGCTAGGAAGAAAATGAACTCTATCTCAACCAAAACCAGGACAACTGGAAAACTGGAGAGGTGGACTAAGCATTGCTGAGGCCAAAGACAGCTTGTTGCTGGAGGGGTTTTTGGGAGAAATACGGGACCAGAATTGGGGGAAGAGCACAGGATAAATTTAGCTAGATAGATCTGAAACAACAAGTTTTATCTCTGGAAGTGTTAAAAAACATTTGTTAAAAACAGAGGAGTGAAATGTTTCTGGATCTATGAAAGTCACACTCCTGCCAGATTTTTTCAGCTGCACTGTCACATTTGGTCAGGAATTTCTGTCCCCTCTAATTACTATTTCATGCAACTAAGCATTCCAGCTTTATTTATCCTAAATTCCTCCATGAGTAGATGTACTTCCCAAAATAAAGCTCCCCTTCTACCCACATTCCCCCTTCTGGACACATTGCTCAACAGCCTCTTTCAAAAGTCCAGTCATTGCTTTTATTCATTAGGAGCTACACGTTGCTGCATCATATATTTAAAGATTGAAAGACAATAAACCTGTCAGTTATCTTAAAAAAAAAAATTCATCTGAGGTTCTGAAAATTAGGGGCTGTTAAAAATTATGTCAAGAAGTATCTTTGCACTGCCACTTTTCTGTATTAATACAAGAGCACTGACACAAAACAGCAGCACTCCACTGAAGAGATCCATTCGTTACGGGAGCTACATGCAAGCATCGCACAACCACACACACGTTTCCAGGCACCACCATCTTACCTCACACCAAAGTTCATTTTCGGTGTCAAATGTGTAATCCTGTATAGATGGGTGGCTGTCCAGAACAGCATTTACTCGCAACTCTGCTGACTGAAGTAATCGATCTTTCTCTTTTTTAGTCTGAGACATAAAGGAAAGATGTTGAGATTCATCACCATCTGCTCCCATCTGATCTTCTCCACTGGGTGTCTGATCTTCTTTTTCTGATTCAGCCTCTTCACCTTCTAGATTCTCATCAACATTTTCTTCCCCATTCTCTTCTTCACTCTCATAATCAACCTGCAAAGAAATAATGTTGTACTTATCTCAACCAGAACATATACAGAAACAAAGCGCACTATGAACAGATTTATTCATGGATATTCTTGACAGCTCAGTTGCAAGCATCTTGCCTATGAGACAAAGAAAATGCAATTCTGTTGTAAAGAAAGTAATACAACAGATTCTGTTCAGTCTCTTTACAATCTTGCCATTATTCCTCATATAGTCCACGATGCTACAGGTTATTGGGACTGCAGCAGAATTTAGTTTTCTCCCCCCGAAAAAGGCTCTTCCATAATCCAACTCTGATGATGGGATTCCCTCGGGATTTTCAATTATTCTACCCTCTTGCTGAAATTACAGCAACCCATCTTTTAGGCAGTAATTATAAAGTAGTGAACATGGAAAAACATGCAGAGCCAGGGAGAATATTTATTAAGAACCACAGTAAAGTTTTAAAAAAAATTAATGGCATGAAATTAGCAGGAGGTAAAGTTAAGGTGAACTACAGCACCGACAACCTGATTGCCAGACCCAACGGCTGAAGAACAAGGCTTCGGAAAAACGCAGATCTCTTCCATCTCACACTTGCACAGTTCTTTATTACTCTTAAAGGACAGCAGTGACCAGATTTAACTATGATGACCATGGTCATCACAAGTCTCAGCCCACATCTTCTGCTGAGGATTTCCCTTTATCCTGATCTGCACAAAGCAGAGACCTTCCTATCTCCTTTCAAGTGATTTGGGGTTTTTTTTCAGCATTTTGTTTCAATGGAAGCTTTCCTTCCCAACTCAAACCAAGGCAGTGGAATTGGTAATTAAAGTGCAGTGCTGAGCACGTATGAAATCATTACCTCTTCTTCTTGGTTCTTCTTCCGTTTTGCTTCTGTAGCATCACCATCCCCTTCATCAGCCTCTGCATCAACAATGTTCTCTTCTTCCTCTGCTGGAGCTTCCTGATTATTCTGTGTCTAGAAATCCATGACAGACCAGATCATCAGGCTGATTCTGCTCGGAAGCATCAACTGCCTCAAAAGGCTTTAGCCAAACATTCGCAATCACACAATCTCTTACTCAATGTTCTACCTTTAAGGACAAATTAATTTCTATAAGCCCACTACTATAAAGATATAATGAATTTACAACTCACGATAACTTTAACATTAAACAAGATGAATGTCTACAAGATAGATAAGCTATGACCCTGCTTATATGACAGTCCTTGTTGGGAGAAGGGTGGCAGAAGGTACATGCAAAAGCTTTTCAATGAAAAAAAGGATCTTCCACAAAGTTTTGACAACCACTGCTACAACAGGACATTGATCTGGGAACAAACAGATAGTAATATGCTTTTATCTCACTGAAGCTAAGATAAACAGGCATTTTCAGACTATAGTCTTAAGTAAATTAGGATTTAATGCACAATAACTTTAATTTCCTTGTTGATTTTATGAGAATGCAAAGACATTCTCAAGTTTATGCATAAACAAGGTATTTAAGAAGTAATTTAGTATTCACACATTGCATGTACACATTGTGACATGCTATGCTTTTCCAAATTCTGGTTCTCAAAAACAGGTAAAGGAAGTGAGGCGTTTTTTAGATAAAGTTTTTCTGTACCTTGTCTTGGTCACCATCTAAATCTTTCCGAGTTGCCTTTCGGGTGCTGACTTCAGTAAAAGATGCCATCTTTGCATTCTTCCTTTTAATTGCTTCCAGAAAAATTTTAAAGAACCTGAAAGAAGCAGCAAGCCTGAATGTCAAAGCTCAGCAGTACTGCAGTCAATTTCAAGTTGTCAGAAAATTAACTTACTTTGTTTAAGAAACCAGTCAACTCAGGATATATTCTCTGCTGGATGCAAAATACTTCTAGGATAAAGCAAGTAATTTTTCCTCTCGTCCCTTTCCCATTTCTTTAAGGATCAAAAGGTTGGTATCATCTCTCTTACAACCACATATGTAGCCATGCATCCAAAGCTTAAAATTATAAGTTCATCTGGACATAAAATCTGCATATTAAACTGACCTTCAGAAAAGATGATTTACTACTGGATTTTTTCTTTTTTTAAGCCAACGAGCACATGCAAAATTATTAAATAAAGTAACCCAGCTTGAACATATGTGGCTTGAAGGAGGAAGAAATCAATGAAGCCTTTTTGCAAAACAAAAGCAGCTTTCAATAGACTCTTATCATTAAATGTTCCACTTTTAACTACATAAATTTGTCCAGACATGGGGAAGGAAGCAGGGGGAAAAAAAAGGAGAAAAAAAATGCAGGCCTTTTCTGATTTTTTTTAACAACAAAAAATAAAGAAAACATAAGGTTTAGTTCTGTTCAATGAGAGCACCAAGTGGTACCTAAAGTATTCAAACATTTTTGATGGTAATAAATGCTTAAGCATCCAAAGATACAGAATGATGCAATGCTTAATGGCTCTTCTCTGAGTAGATCAGAGACACATGAAAGATCTGCCTTGATACAATTCTGCACTGTCACCACACCAGAGATCCACAATTTTTTTCAAACCAAAAAGCAACTCTGTCGATGCTTCTGCAAGCACATCTGCAGGAAGCTGTTGCTGTGAAAGCCACAGCAGAAGTAATAAACAACATGCAGTGACCCTTAGAGCCCATGGAAAAGCAAATATTAAAGTATCTGAAAGCAAACTCACCTTGTTTCCATGAAGTGCAAGATGTCCCTGGGCTTCACGCATTTCTCCTCTCGGTAATATTCATAGGGCAAGAAAAGGAATTTGATTTTGTAGAGACGATGTTTGTTCTGCTTGCACTTCACATGCAGGGATTCCTCTATCTCAACTTTCTGCAAGACCTACAAAAACCACAAGTAGGAAAGTTATTCCTTTGAGGAAGACACTTCATTTACTTTCTGCAACTTCATGCTTTCCATATGAGACCAGAATTACACAACTGGCAAACTTTTCTGGAGGTTTTGTGGCAGCTCTTGGGAAAGAGGACTCTACCCTACTGCACTCTTTTGGCTTAAACTTCTCCCAACAATTAACTTAGACAATACTGGGAGAACAGCCTCACCTCCCACCCAACTCCTTTACAAGGGACTACACTTCTCAGCAGGCCAACAGCTTCATTTTACTGACCCCTGCTCATTGACCATGACGGTATTTCAGCACAGAGCTGAGTCTTAACTCTATCCTTGCTGCTTTCAACTTGAAAGAGTAAGACAGAAGAGGGTAGGGCATGCAGGAGAGCACAAGAAAGACTGCACTCCTAGGGAGAGAGGGAGCACAGAATACAACACACTCCAGTCTATCGAGCCTCCAAGGACCAACACGTTCTGCTTCTAGCGAGCACTGCCACTTGCATGAGATTAGGAAGGGGTAGGGGACAGACAAACAGAAAAGTCTCTACTATACCAGTCACAGCCAGATTAGCTTGTCTCTTAAAGACAAAACAAAACCCCTCCAATTCTAGAGAGTGACAAAAATGAGGTTGAGAAAAACCAAACAAGGCTACAGCAGCAAACATAAATCCTCCATGCCTTTGTACTACTGCTGTGTATGAACTATTACCCTACCCCTTTCAGTTCTACAGAGACTTTGTAGCGTGTAACAATGCTCTACAAGTTAAACTGAAGTCTCATACAGCCACAGTAACTGCATTTCCTTTCGCTGCTCTGCTTCATAGCGGATATTACAGGTTCACTATGCAAGAAGTGAAAAGAAAAGGACCCTGTCACCTTGCACCCACAGCCAAGCCTTCAAAAATGGAAATTGCTACTAAGCCAGACTAACTGATGAGCTCAAACAGGAAATTTTGTTTTGCAAACTCTCAAAGGATACACTGAATAGGAGGCTCACCTCAGCTAAGCACACTCTTGTGAGCTGTTTCTTAAGCTGTTTCACCTTCTTGAGGGCCTTCTTGGTATTGAACACCGGAACACTCATTGTTGGCGTTTTAATATTTGCACTGGCTACCATCAATATTTCCCGCAACCTTTAAATAAAGAATCATCTTCCAAATTAACTGATAAAAGCACTATGCAATCAAATAAATACCTAGTTCACTTAATTAGGTTGCATGCCGCAACTGCCAGTTCCACTGAAGTCATATGCCTCAAGGGCTGTGGTTACCATGGCACTGCTCCTTTTCACTTTTCTGGTTCCTCATCAGGAGCTCTACTGCCTCAATTAGATTACCCCAATTACAGGAAGAGATTAGAGATGATATTAAGTTGTTCCAAGAACAAAAGAACTAATGAAGCCTGTTTCCTACAGGTGCTTCACACACCTATGCATGAGGCCAGGGTCAGCACCCATGTTATTCACAAGCTGACAACTGGCTGGTAAACATGTGTGCGCTGATAACATCAAGGATATGTAAAAGCCAGTGGGAGACCTGGTTCATAGCAGCCAGGTTTTTTCTACATAGGTGACTGTAATACTAAACATGCCAGGTTTCACAGCTGCAGTGAAATTTTGCGTATGAAAGAAATAGGTTTAAAAGTTAGTAGGGGGAAGAAGATGTTGGCAGAGGGCAAACCCGCAAAGCACCATTTCTTTAGGCTTACACTGTACTTACTAAACTACAGAAACAAATAAGCCATTTCCTATCTATCAGGCAAGAGTAAAGGGGCTTCACAGATATTTTGTATCTGGAAAATGAACCAAAACAACTGTAAAATTGTAAAATGTTCAAAACAGTTCCAAACAGGCACAATTTACAATTAAACTGTAGGATCATTCAAGATTACACATATACCTGCCAGTGAGATTAAGCACTATTAGGTAAGTGCCAAAAATGGCAAAGGACCCATTGAGAACACAGATATTCTCACCTTGGAATACCCAGTGTGACATTCATTTCACCTCTGCCAGCAAAGTGGAAGGTGTTCAGAGTCATCTGTGTGGAAGGTTCCCCAATACTCTGAGCTGCAAGGAGACCCACAGCTTCTCCTGGGTCACAAAGAGATCGCTGCCACTTTAAATATAACAAATCCTTTAATCTGAAGACAGGAAATAAGTGGTTTAGCTCAATGTAGTACAAAATAAAGAACTCTGAAGAGACTCAAACATTGCTTAGTTCAAGAAAGTTACCTCTTTCAGCCAATTTCTCCTGGTAGCTTATGGAAAAATATACTCCAGAAACTGTAAAACTGTCTAGCCCAATCTGATCTGACAAACACAGCTCATTAACACAGAACTGGGGCCTTGGCCAAACCGTATTTGACTTCTACTGCTAATTCCCAGAATGTCAAAAGAGAGTCCATTTACTCCCACTTGCTCATCTTAACTGCCTTGCTAACTCCAACGTCTGGCAAGACCATTTTTTGTTTTGTAACCATTACTGTAAAGTCTTATCTTATACATAGGAGAACAGCAATACACTGCTGTTATTCCATAAAGCCTTTGCAAAGCCCTTAGCAGCACAGAAAATTCAGGTTTGGAAAAAAACAGATAACCAGGGCCTCTCCACTGCACACTAAACACACATGGCTTTCAGGAACCATTTTGAAACCCACTACTTCGTTTCACAAAGGTCACAACAAAACCAACAGTTGATAAAGACATCTTTAGCAAACTCAGTCCAAAAAATCGGTTTGGGTTGTTGTTTTTTTGTCTCACTAAAAACCAGTAAAGACACAGAAGTTACTACCTATCAGAAGAAAGTGCTGAGTGCGCGTAACTTTGTCTGTTCTCGGATTCCCATTTGTTGATATAATCTTCGACTCCATTTTCAAATGTTTCTGAAACAGACGCAAAATAAGTATCTGGACGCCAAACACCAAGGCTTGGGTCAGGACACTTATTTGTCTTCTTCAGATACTTTCTTCGTTTCTTCTCATCTAGCTCATACCACATCTTCAATAACTGAAAATAAGAAGGGATTTTTAAGCAGACTGGTTTGTCCACAGTAAGACCAAAAGTAAGTAACACAGCAATCAAGCAATAGAGAAGGAGGAAAAGATTATCTGTGTAAAACTTAAGGGTGTACGTTTGTCCTGGTTTCAGCTGAGAGGATTGATTTTCTTCATAGTAGCTAGTGTGGGGATATGTTTTGGATTTGTGCTGGAGACAGCACTGATAATATAGAGATGTTTTTGTTCTATGGACTTACTGTTGAGCAGTGTTTACACGGGGCCAAGGCCTTTTCTGCTTCTTGCACTGCCCTGCCAGCGGGATGGCTGGGGGTAGACAAGAAGTTGGGAGGAGACACAGACAGGACAGGTGACCCAAACTGACCAAAGGGATATTCCATACTATATGATGTCATGCTCAGTTTAAAAGGAGCTTGGGGGAAGGGCGGGGGGGGCGGTGGCGTTCGGATCGATGGCGTTTGTCTTCCCAAGTCACCGTTACACGTGATGGAGCCCTGCTTTCCTGGAGATGGCTGAACACCTGCCTGCCCATGGGAAGTGGTGAATGAATTCCTTGCTTTGCTTTGCTTGTGCGTGCGGCTTTTGCTTTACCTATTAAACTGTCTTTATCTCAACCCACGAGTTTTCTCACTTTAACTCTTCCAATTCTCTCCCCCATCCCGATGGGGAGGGAGTGAACGAGCGGCTGCGTGGTGCTCAGCTGCCAGCTGGGGTAAAACCACGACAATGTTACACAGAATCACAGACCAGTAGGTGTTGGAAGGGACCTCTGGAGATCATCTAGCCCAACCCCTCTGCTAAAGCAGGGTCACCTACAGCAGGTTGCACAGGATTGCATCCAGGTGGTTTTGAATATCTCCAGAGAAGGAGACTCCACAACCTCTCTGGGCAGCCTGTTCCAGTGCTCTGTCACCCTCAGAGTGAAGACATTCTTCCTCATGTTCAGATGGAACTTCCTGTGTTCCAGTTTGTGCCCGTTGTCCCTTGTCCTGTCACTGGGCACCACTGAAAAGAGTTTGGCCCCATCCTCTGCCCTTTAGATAATTTTCAAGTATTAATGAGATCCCCTTTCAGTCTTCTCCAGGCTAAACAGACCCAGCTCTCTCACCCTTTCCTCATATGAGAGATGCTCCAGTCTCCCCTAATCATCTCCATACAGCAAAAAAAAAAAACCCCACAAACAAAAACCTACATAGCACACAACAACTCACCTACAAATATGGCATTCTCCATTTTCTGATACTTACACTTTTGATCCCAAACGATTTCAATGTTCTTTAAGAGCTTGAAATAGTCAGTTACCTATCCATAGTAACTACTCCAGAAATCAATGAAATACAGCTCTCTAATAATGATTTTAACTTGGGAGTGAACCCCCTTGACATACTTAAATCTTTACTTCCAGCTGACTATTACCTTGCCTGTCTAAAGCTGGCATGACAAAGGAGCTTCTCTGATTTTCAGTTGTCAACATTCAAGCACAATATTCCAGCAGAGACCTTGAATGTAGCTCGCATCTTATGCATGCTAATAAGTTTTATTTCTATTCTTCCATTTGCTAGTCTTTCAAGTAACATGTAAAATATTGCATTTAATAAAGAAAAGGTTAATATAGACTTTAAAAAAATCAATACAGAAAACGAGCTAAATGTATCTTCTACATGTCTTGCTGTTTTATGAAGAAGGAATCGTATTGTGACATGGAAGACTGTCCACTGAGCTTTATAATAAACTGAGACAGAGATAGACGTATCTACCTAATCTACTGAAAGACAAAAAAAAATTTTAAAAAAAATCAAACAGTGAATAAATCCCCAGGCCAAACTGTTATGAACATTATTAAAAGTGCTAATAGCAACACAAATTCAGCATAACTGACAAATGAACCAGTGATCAGGCATAACATTTGCAGACAAGGTAACAGAGTTTTATGTATCTCAACAGCTTCTACTTGGACTTTCATGCTAACTGCCCACATTCTTCCAAGGTAAATTCCCTGTGAAAGCAAGGCTATGAAGCAGCACCTGTTCGTATTATGTGTCCATACATAAAATATTCATTAGAAACCATAACATATAGGTTACTGCCCTGATATAGAAGAGGCTTAAGCAAGAGCACATTTTTGAAACACTAGGCAGGGCTAGCTCAGCCCTCTGATCCTTGTATTTAAACAGGCTCTCATCCAACTATCAGATATCTGTCCATCCAAGAGAGATCTAGTCTGTGTACACAAAAAAACCCCACAAAACCTAAACAACTCACCACCAAAAAAACCAAACAAAAACAATCCCCCCAAAACACCCACAAACATGGGCTTTTTTTTTTAAAACCAGTTTTATCTGAGAATTTTTGGACTCTGCCCTAGCACTAGGGCCACAGGCTTTAACAAATGAATCTCAACTTCATCGCCCACACAGCTGACATATGATTCCTTCAAAAGGTAATTTGTCTAAGTAGACTGTGAAACACTTCGGGACACTTGGGCCAGGTGGCCAAGGTGGCCAACAGCATCCTGGCTTGTATCAGAACTAGTGTGGCCAGCAGGAGTAGGAAAGTGATCGTCCCCCTGTACTCGTGCACTGGTGAGGCTGCACCTCAAGTACTGTGTTCAGTTTTGGGCCCCTCAGTACAAGAAGGGCATTGAGGTGCTGGAGCATGTCCAGGGAAGGGCAACGAAGCTGGTGAAGGGTCTGGAGCACAAGTCTGATGAGGAGTGGCTGAGGGAACTGGGGTTGTTCAGCCTGCAGGCTTAGGACAGACCTTATTGCTCTCTACAACTACCTGAAAGGAGGTTGTAACATGGCTGGGTGTTGGTCTCTTCTCCCAAGTAACAAGTGATAGGACAAGAGGAAATGGCCTCAAGTGGCACCAGGGAAGGTTTAGATTGGATATGAGGAAAAATTCCTTCATCGAAAGGTTTGTCAAGCATTGGAACAGGCTGCCCGGGGAAGGGGTGCAGTAACCATCCCTAGAGGTATTTAAAACATGCATAGATGTGGTGCTTAGGGGACATGGTTTAGTGGTGGCCTTGGCAGTGCTAGGTTAATGGTTGGACTTGATGATCTTAAAGGTCTTTTCCAACATAAATGATTCTACGATTCTATAAAAAGCCATTAAAAAAAGAAAAAAAATCACTGAATTCTGCAACTTTTCTTAAAGGGCTCAGTCAATTTGACTGCTTCTGTGTTACCTGTAAGGTAGCAGGATCTCTTCCATTTTTGATTTCTCCTCCTGGAATCTGTGCTTTTACAATTGCCATTTTCTTTCGGGAAAACATCAGAAAACCTCCTTCTCTTTGCACGGAGTTTTGGTGCCTGGCTCGCCACTTTTTGATGGCTTTGAACTGCTGGTTAGCTTGGTGAGACTCCATCCTTGCTAAAGCTTCATCCAAATGGTTTGTTTTCTGGATTACCTATAAGAAAGTTATCTATATGATTACTCTCTCCAGGCTTACTGTAGCAGAAAAGGCAAAGCAAACTGAAAAGGTCATCTGCTGCCACTCAAAGTGTTCAGCTGCTGTGTAACAATTTTAAAAATTGGTTTTCAACCCAACTGAGACAAAACTCCTTATATCTTTATGTGACTATTGCCATTCTTTAATAACCAGTGATGATACTGGTAAAAGGAAGTTAATCAAACTCGACAGACTGAAGAGTAAAGTCATCTGCATTGACTTCAACTGCAGAGTTAGAATACATGAGAATGGGGAGAGCGCTTGATGCTCTGTTGAAATTGAGACTGCTCAAATTATGCCACAGACTTAAGATTCACTTCCATATTTTGAATACAATGGCAAATAAAAATGTAGGCTAGTCTGAGAGCAACTGAGAGAAACAACTATGCCACTGGATCCCTAACAGATATGCCAGATGTTACCTGTGTATTTCAGTCTTCCCCTTCACCCCATATAAATACTAAAGATTCAGGTGTTCTACCTCATAGTTTTCTGCAATGAAAGGAAACTGCTCGGGATGTAAGAACTGAGTTTTGGGGATATCAAGCCCATCTTCTCCATACAGAAACTGCACCACACTGCCATCACTATCTCGTACAGTCAGGTCATACTGAACTACCAGTCCTTCCAAATGTTTTATGATACACCTGTTCCAGAGGAAAAAAGAAAAAGAAAAAAAACCCAAACAACAAAACCCGCTGTTAAAAAGGCTACAAAGCAACAAGGATGATATAACTCTAATATAAAAAATACTGTTTTCATTAATATCTTAAGTGCACTTAAGGTCTGATCAGGAATTCTGGAAGCTAAAAATCATACAGACATGACACACAAGTGAAATGCATAATGATACTGAAAAGCTTTCTGCATGTTGCTCCCTCCAGTTTTCTTGGACTGAAGTGACTTAAAATGTAATAGCAAATTACTGTCTGTTTCTGCTATCACTCTTAAACAGTTGTCTGAAAGAAGGGGGCATCCCTCCGTTAGAGCACCTCACTACCCTCTGCAACAATTAAAAAGTCCCATCTTCTTCTATATACTTGAGGTTTTCCTTGAATCAAGGTGAGGGCTATACAATGTGGCAAATAAAAAACTAGAGTTGCCTGGAATTTGTACACCTTGTAACAGGAAAAAAAGATTTCTTGTTGCTGCTGCTATATACCAGAGAGAAGTTAGAGATGATAAAGTTCCACTTGATCTACTCCTCTAAAAAGTCAGCCTTAGAACAAACATTCAACACTCAGTCAAGTAAACACTTTTCTAAAAGGCAAGTACACTGAAGTTAATCTAAACAACACAGGCACTTCTTCCAGTCTATAGTACTCTAAAAAAACCCAAAAAGCAAACAAACAGAAAAAAACCCCAGCCAACCAAAAGGACCTTTTAAAGGCTCAAATTCTAAGACAAGCCTCTTACCTTTGTAGGTATCCAGAACGGCTGGTTTTGACAGCTGTATCCACAAGACCCTCCCTGCCAGCCATGCAGTGAAAGAAGAATTCCTAAACATAAGCACAATACCATCAGCACTCCGCTGTGAAGTACAAGACTGGCAATTTATGTTCTTTCTCAAAAGCCACATAGGAAAGTAGGGTTAACAAAGCTTATTTATCTATAATTGCACACACTGCATTAAAATACCAAGATTTATATAAGCTTCAGTATAAGCACAAGCAGTATTAAACTTACAGAAGGTTTGATCCCAGTGAGAAATCTGCCAGTCACAAATCCTCCTGAGCTAGGGGAAAAATCGTAAGGCTGGAAACATGGCAGCGATTTGCCAGATGCCATCAGTGGGGGTCTTCGACCTTCCAACTCAATCTGGCCCAGCAAACAAGAAATCTAGATGTGGACAGGAAAAAAAGGGAAACATCACTATCACTTTTCCATCCAACTTTTTGCTTGCATGAATTTGACAATTTTTCTTAGAAAAATGTAGTAAAAAATTTAAAGTGTTCATTAAATGTTCTTTAACTAAATGTCAACATGTTCATTAAATGTTCTTGCTACTGATGGGTAGAAAAGGCATGTAGATCTCATCTGGTCCTCATCTGGTCTTTTTAGTTATTCCAGTCCCCTGACTCATCCTCAGCATTTCCATTTCCATTCTCATTCTGTATGTTTATTTCAGTACAAAGAGATGTGAATCTAAACATATCGTAAAAATTTTTTAGGTCCCTACATTACCCTCTCCACCTCTCAGCAGTGTACTAAAATCAGAACAAAAAACCCCAAAACAAAACTCACTCTCTCTTGAGCTTTGGTCATTCTCTCTCAGACACAGAATTTTAGATGGCTTTTTTATATATCTTTTATTGCTGGGTGTCTGAATTGTAGAAGGCAAAATGAGAAAGTATCCTTGCCATATCTAACAAAATCAAACTAAGATTTAGTTGTTCCTATTCAGTTGTGGAAGAAGGAAACAGAGCGGTCAGACTCCAACAGAGACCAGGAAAAGTTCTCTTTCTCCTACAGTTTGTTTGTATTAT